GTTTCGGGTTAGAAGTGGGAGTGACTATTCAGATTATGAAACGTCTTCAATGTAACCATCCTTGTCTATCGGATTTCTATGACTTACTTTATCGCTCTCACGTAACGGCCGATGTACCATGTACTTTCCGAACCTGTAATTATAATACCTACGAGGTTTTCGGAAAAAGTGAAAATTATATTTTCATTTTATTTATAAATTAAATAATATGTGATTTAGAATTAAACCATAATGTTATAATTTATTTACTGGTTCCTTTGGGTGGTTTTCCATTAAAGAAAATTGATGTTTCGGCAAATATTTGACAAATGATTTATTTATTATTTTATTGTATTTATCAACTTTCAGTTGAATATGTACTTTTCTATGCAGTATAAAATTTGATTTGATAGGTATGTACGTGAAACATTTATAAGCAGTTTTTGGGCTTTTTTCATATTATATTTTAATAAATAAATGTAAAATTTCTTCTTCTGACATCTACTTGTTTATTTTCATGAGTCCAAAGGACAAGTGCAAATTGCAGACAGAAAACTGTATAATTTTTTGTTTGCAATTTTTATAAAAGTAGGTACTTTCGCGAATAATTAAAAGTACCTATAAATTAAATAAGTACATCTATAACGATCTGAAAATATGAAAACAGTAAAATCCTATTTTACAAAAACATTTTTACCATTTGTTCTGTGGTTTGGAACGTGGAATTATTTTGATTTTAGATCATAAAAAAATTAAAAGAACAGTTTAATAAGTTTTTTAAATAATTTGCAGATTCTGTAACTGCTTTATATGTATACTGGGTGACATGGAACAAAGTGCAACGCATAGCACCACTTGATAGAGGACCTCAAAACATATTAACAGTTACTATACACAAAAGTCTAAATTTCTTTTGTTTTCGAGATACAGTGTTAAAGAAATTTTAGAAAATAATGATTTTTTTTATTACTTTCAACTAAGTGGAGGGAATGTACTGACGATTTATACATAATATCCTTTACAAGTTGAAAACCAGTGGCGGAGTTACAGGCTTCACTATGCTTAAATCAAATTAATAAATGAATACAGCCCTCTACATATTACTATTTTAACATGTTGCGATAGGTAACATAATTCCTATTAAAAGATCCTCTCAATTTTTTAACTCCGCCACTGGTTGGCAACCTGTAGAGGATATTATGTACCCACTGTCAGTACATTTCCTCCACATAATCAGAAGTGATAAAAAAAAATCAATATTTTCCAAAATTTCTATAACACTCTTTATTTGGAAAACAAAAGAAATTTAGACATAAGTGTAGAGGGAGTTTTTATATGTTTTAAGGTCCTCTATCATGTGGTGCTATGCATTGCCGTTTTTTCCATGTCACCCTGTATGCAGGGCGTTTATTAAGTACATGTACAAACTTTAAAGAGTGTATATTTGACTAAATTTAATATAAACAGTTCGTATGAACATGGGTCAGCAACGGTTTGGTTCTTGAGATACAATGTCCAAAACATAAAATTTTTGTTTGGTATTTTGATTATATTTTTGTTCAATATCATGGAAATTTGTCAAAATTCGGGAAAGTGGGAATATTGATGATGAGAATCTCAAATATTTACTTAGTTTTTTTGTTTAATATTAGAGGACGCCACATGCAGTGTTGTACCTGGATTTAAATAACCATAACATTTTTGTGTCGCACTGTATGTCATTTTGACTAAACATACCTATTCTCCATTCAATTTTAAATACTCTTAGTATTTGTCGCTGAAAGCAACCGTTTTGTAAAAAAAGAATTTAAAATTAAACCTGCGTTGGAATTTTGAATTTTGTAAGTTGAATCATAAAAAATTATTGAAAAATAAGCGAAAAGAATCATGTATTATGTTACACTATCACTTTACAAATTAATATCATCAAATTGACGTTATTAAACAAACATAATCAAAATATCAAATAAAAATTTTTTTTGGACGCTCTGTATCTCAAGAACCGAGCCGTTGCGGACTCATGTTCATATGAACTTTTTATCTTTTAATTAGTCAAATATTCACCCTTTAAAGTTTGTACAAGTACTTAATAAACACCCTGTATGTACATAAATATAATTGTAGAATCATAAAATATATATGACATGATGTAACAGACTTGAATTCGATTAATAAAATACGACATATGTTAGTTCTATATTATAATGATTGCCAATGTCACTTGCGAGTCATCTTGTTAAATATACAACACACTTATTTGTGATCCACCACAAATGTTCCAGCTCCTATTTTTTCTGTTAATCTTCGAGATATACCTACCGCATATAATAAAAGTTGTATGAAAGTTTTTGAATTTTATTGCAGAAACATTCGAACTGGATTGATCTGGATTGAAATATTAAATCAATTGTTTATAAGAATCCTAATGATTCTCAAGCTGCCTTGTGGCAAAAAAAAAGAAATATATAGGGACATGATATAAAACGATTTCTTTTTTTAGGTTTAAACAATCTATTTATAAAATAATAAACCTATATACTGAACAAAATGGTAGGCACGTTGAAAATTAATTACTTATGAATTAACAAAAATCAAGAGGTTGTATGTAGGTCGGAGGAACGTGGCAGCCAACGCACGTCACGTTTCCTACCTATCCAACGATTTGAATAACGCATATTTGAAGTAAATATTACAATAACTTGACACAAATTGTTAGATTTTGTTTAATTGATTTTGATTTAGTCCTTACCGAAATTAGATAATCTTGTATTTAATGTACATACAACTTTATATTTGAAAAATGTTGAAGATATGAGTTTCCACAAGGTACAATAAGGCATGACAATTTTCTGTAAAGAAGTTCAATTTATTATCTATGTAAAGAATTTTCACCCAGTTAGGTAAAAAATGACTTTAAAACTCTGATGATATCAACTTTTGGAACAAAATAAGTTCGGCTGTCGTAATAATATTATGTCTAGTTCACTCTTGCTCTGTGATCTATTATTACTTATGAAACACGATATACAGGCTATCCCCAAATTTCACTGACAACGTTTGACTGCATATTCACGACGATAAATAAATACGATCTACGAAAAAAATGTTATATAATTTGTTTTTTATTTTTGGGCTTTCAAAGTTGTCAAAAATAAAACTAATTTAATTAATAACTTCATAACCCTTTTACCGATCGCATTAAAATTGTACACATTTATTTGGACTATTATGGCGTATTATTATTAAAGCTTTAGTCAGATCGATATACTGGGTGATAATTTTCTCCGGTTACCACTCCCTTTTAGCGGTCAATACTATTACACTGGTCGCATTTTTTTCAAACGGGCAGTAACGTTGAAGAGGTCGTTTTATTTAAAAAAAATATTGTCGCATGAAAAAATCGCCTACAGAAAGCCATTTGAAGAAAAATGGCATTATTTGCAGGTCCTTATGATTCTGTTTGCGTAGCAATGCCACGGATTCAAAACTTTGGGTTCAGTAGGCGATGAAAACAAGATGATGATTGCTGTGGCTATCAGGTAATGTCATTATTGTCGTGTTTCTTTAGGATTATCATCACTCCATACATGTAAATTACGAAAATTTACAACTCCGTTCCGTATAAAACAAGATTCGTCGGTGCAAAACAATTTTTGAAGCATATTATTATCTTCTGCTAAGCTATTCACCAACCAGCGGCGTTAGGATGGTCGAAGAAGTTGCTTTTTTAAAGTTTTGTGAACATTATTTTTACATACATGTAATTGTCTTGATAAAATGAGGACACTTCCTAATTTGCATATGTGGAGTGATGAGAATCCTAAATAAACATGACAATAATGACATTACCTGATAGCCACAGCAATCAACATCTTGCTTTCATCTCCTACTGAACTGAAAGTTTTAAATCCGTGACACTGCTACACAAACCGAAAAGTACAGACCTGCAAACAATGCCATTCTTCTCAAGAACGGCTTTCTGTAGGCGATTTTCTCAAGAGACAATATTTTTTCAATGTTGCTGCCCGTTTTAAAAAAATGCGACCAGTGTAAAAGTTTTGACCGCTAAAAAGGAGTGATAACCGGAGAAAACTATCACCCAATATATCGATTTAACTAAAGCTTTAAGAAATAATACGACATACGTTCAAATAAATGTGCCAAATGTTAACGCGATCAGTAAAAGGGTTAGGAAGTTATTAATTAAATTAATTTTATTTTTGACAACTTCGAAGGCCTGTAAACCAAAAAGTTTTTATTTAACTTTTTTTCGTAAATCATATTTAGTTATCGTCGTGAATATGCAGTCAAACGTTGTCGGTGAAATTTGCGGAGACCCACCCTGTATATTTATTCTTTCAACAGTTATAATATTAGAAATGAACCGAAAATACAATTTTTTAAATTTGTTTATTTGGTGATAGAAAAATAAAACGCGAGTGAAAAAAGGAGCGCATATTTTCGATATTTTGCGCCTTTCTATTAAAAAAATTATAAATCCCTTTAAAATCATTTTGTTCTTTATAGAAAAGTAATTGACAACATTAACTTGTGCGTTTAATAGCTGTAATAATTATAAATGAACACCTAATGCGAATAAATGACAAATACAGAACTGTACAAAATTTCTTAAATTTATCAAAATTATAAAAACTCAAAATTCTAAATTAATTACGCTAGATGCGTCTCGGTGCTGTAATATATAAATATGCAGTCTATAGTTATAGGTACATTCTTTATAGCTAATATTTTATACCGCCTACATAATTTTAATTTTTATTTAGGTATAGTCGTCATAACTATCGAAATGTAAAATCTGAGATGTGCCGGTTTTTCCTAGTTACCTGTATTTTAAAAAGTTATGCTTTGCATTAGGCGCAAGTTATTTCTAATATCAACTTCATACACAACTCTCGTTACAAGAATGACATAATCGTTAAATAAATAAATAATGAACCATTTGTTTATGGCTAGGTAGGTTTACTAAGTAAATCAACGAAGAACCTTATATGTACACTTACCAGTCCGGTCTGATACACTGTTACTCAGTCCGCACTCAACTCAAAACTGCAACTGAATGTGAATAATGAAATGAAAATCTTTCTTGGGGAACGAGCAAAAGAGAATAATTATTATATTATTGCTCCACACAGCGCCCACATCCTGAGCAAACATAAACTTCCCGATGAAGTATTTCCATCTCTCTTCTGAACATTGATGATTGCATAAACTTTGTACTGGAAACGTGTAAACAATCTTATATAATCTGAAGGCGCAAGTTCACCAAATGTCCATACATATGCGTGACCTATTACGATGTATGATATGTTTTTTAATTTAGATTCGCAGCTGATGACACCAATCTGATTGCTCTCAATTTAAATAGATATTGCACATGCTAGTGCCACGTAGAAAAAAAGGAGTACACAAAATAGTTCACTCTAAATTAGAAACTATAAATATTAAATAATTTACCATATACCAAAAATAAATTTTTTGAAACAGATTTACAAAAGTGTTATCTTAACCACATATCTACTTAACCTTACCTTATCGTAATTAACCCAGTTTGTCTTATTTTTTATATACCTTTCCTATCAACTAAAAAAAAATTTTTGGTAGTAATAACATATACAATGAGGGGATAATAACAACTTATTGCAAAATTTTTAAATATTAAAAGTTCATTACTGACAGCTGAAATTAAAATATAAAGAAAAAGGTTTCCTTATCTGTAAATGATTTTAAGGTATTTCCAAACCAGACAGCCAAATATATACGCCACTGGTAAATAGCTGTACTGGTTATGCGGTAATGTGCGGTATATTTATACTATAGCATGTTTCGTTTACCAGTTCCCAGCAGGGCCGCATCAACCTATCAACCTATGGTGAGGCCCGGGGCTGCAAGCACTTTTTCTGAAAAATTATTATTTATAAAATTTCAAAACCTACACATTTTGGTTTGATTCTAAAATAAAAAAGCAAAACCTGAACACTTTTTGATTTCATTTTGCCAGATCTTGTCGAAGCCCCCCGATCTCGCGAGGCCCGGGGCTATAGCTCTCGTAGCCCGACCTGGTTCCCAATATTCAATTATGAGTACCTACCTACCTATAAATAACGTTAGTTTTTCTATATATTTTGACTTCAACAAGTACTTTTTTTAACAAATAATATTACAGCTTCTTTAAAACTAATTTTAGAACCGACAATGTAAAGTATGATCATTTCATACAAGCAGGAACTTTACGGAAAACACCGTAGACTGTGCAAAAGCGAAATTAATTTAGTTTTGAAAATTTACTGCGATTTTTCGAGCCACACCGAGATTTCGATTATTTTTAATAAATGCAAAATCGTTAAATCAGCGATTTTTTTTTTCTTCAAAAGTTTTCTGCTAAAAACTGGAAATGTTTATATATTTTTAGTCGAAAACGAGAAGAGGTGCACTTCTTACTCAAACCTTGACACTTTTGTTTTCCTTGTGGACGTGTGTCTTCCTATACCAAACCCCGCTGATCTCTGATGTCGGTAGAGTTTGAAATACGTAAAATTTTTTTTGGAGAGTCAAAACGGAAGTAAATGCAACGGAAATAACAGTTTCGAGTGAACTGCCGACATACATAGACACAGCCAGGGGAGCAGGGGGGGCACAGCCGCTCCTAATTGTTGCTGCATGCTGCAAGTTTCAAAAATTACTTTATTATTACTGGACGCATTTTCTATCTTGTCAAACAAAAAAGTCTTTAAGTTTTGAAGTACGTTTTTTTTAGAGATCTCCATAGAACTTGCAGTCCTGGGCCCACTCTTAGCAAAAATTCTAGCTACGCCCATGCCAACATGTGCATTTCGTACTAACAGTACGATGACCAGTGCCAGGTGGACAGTGTAATGGAAGCTCCGCAACTTATATTTTACAAGAAAATCCTATTGGGCCTTTTTTAAGACAACTAATATATAATTCGTTATAGCTTGCCCAACATTTCTTACTACCGACGTTATATCAACCCAGACAGAGAGACAGCCGGTATTCCTTTTCAGGATTTCAGGGACAAATGGCGAGGAAGACGGTATCATACTTATAAAGGCAGAGAATCGTTGCAAGACATAAGGTAGTCAAAATTTAAAAATGATCGTTTTTTAGGTCTGTTTACTACATTACATTATTATGTACATTAATATAATATCTATCACTGTGCTTGGTTAATGATAAAAGCCACAAATTGTAGAGGGTATCATTTCCGTCACTTTTGAATATTAGAGACCTAGTGCTTGCCTTCGGACGAAGCACGGATCTGTTTTAAAATAACCCTTATTAGCAGGGTTGCCAATATGTGGGTAATTCCCCAAAACGAGGGGAATTTCATTGACTGTGGGTTTTTTGTGGGGAATTATTTTTCCTGGAGATTTTATGGGGAATATTTATTTTATTGGGGAGGTAACAAGTAACTTTATATTGCGTTGTAGTTGGCTGGCCTACTCTACGTGTATTGCTATCTCTTATTTTATACATAAGATAATAGAGGATAGATATAATACTCTCGTTGTAACACAGAACAGCTGACAGTCCGTCTCACTAATTAATATGTGCCTTCTTCCTTGTCTCTTGTGACACTGAGCTATGCTATGAGTAGCCCAGTTAACATTATTTTTATGTTTTTGTGAAAACTGATGTCGATACAGATTATTTTATGGGCAATTAATGACATATATTACATGCCTTGCAAAAGGCATATTCATTACAACTGCTAGAGTACTACTATTAGTTTCTTGCTTTATAAGCTAGTCTTTCAGATTTGGATCTAAGTAACTATCCATTATTAAAATAGTAAAAATGATCTGTATCGACATCAGTCTTCAGAAAAACATAAAAATAATGTTAAACAAATTAAATCGAATATCAAAATAAGTGATCTTATGACAAAACGCATTTAAGAGTCTACCAAAAAGTCTTAAATTATGTGGACTACTGGCAGTTAATAACTTACCATTGCGAATAAACATGCCATTTTAAAACGAATAAAAAAACCGTATAGATCCTGTGTTTTATTTTAATTCTTGTCTGAAATGTAATAAAGATCGAATATTTATTTTATATGTGCCGCCCTGTAAAAAAATTGTAATGTGGGTATTTGTGGGTAATGCGCACAGACCACCTAGACTAGCTTATAGAGCGACTTTGGTGAAAACACTTCGGAGCCTGATTGGATGCCCAGCGCTCAGTCGTGTCCTAGCATTTGACGTGTACGCATCGCTGTGATTTCGATTAGTGATGGGCATAATCGACCAATTTTGATAATCGAGTTATCGGTAATCGAGTACTTCTAATAATCGAGTGATCACTCGAGATACGAGATATTGGTCATTTTCATCCCAGCGGCGCACAAATATGTTTGTATTAGTCATATATTACTTATAAGCGTAGCTAAAAAAANCGATAGAGAAGGATGGCTATAATGAAGGCTTCTCTTTGTCACCGCCCGTTTCGCCCTTCCACAAATAAGATCCACTTCTTATTTGTGGAAGGGCGAAATGGGCGTTGACTATGATACGCCTTAATAATAGCCATCCTTCTCTATCGCATGGATTTCTATGTCTTACTTTATCGCTCTCACGTAACTTGTGATAGACCATCGGCGCTTTCCTACCCGGTAGATAACAATCAAAAATAAATTTTATAATAGTAAAAAACAATATTATTTATTATCATAAAAAAGCATATAAAGACAAAAATGTGAGGACTGGAGAAAAAAAATAAAAAGGTAGATATAATGGTATAAATAAAAAATTGTAACGTAAAATTCTTATTAAAAATTTGTACTTAACCCAATTTATCTAACCTAATGTAATCTAACCAACCTAATTCATGTCTTCGAGGTTGAAATAACCTTTTTTAAAACGCGAAAATTATCGATGGGTCATTCATTCATTCATTGCATGATCACCATATACTGCTCAAATTTCCCAAACTGCTTGAGCGCCTGTAGCATTTTCCTCGTCCACACAATTTGATAGAGCAATAAGTCCTCTTTCGAATGACATGTGTCAATTTGACAACCCGTTTAATTTTCATGTGAATTTTAAATTTGAAAAAAAAATGGGCATTATTCTCCAACCATTATCTATTGTGATACATAAAGAACAGCCAAAGTCCTAAGATTGACAAAGGTGGAGAAAAAGCCTTAAAATTTTAAACATCATTATGTTTAAAATTTTGGACCAGGGATTTTGAAAGGAAATTATAAAGTTGTAGATCTGACAAAAAAATAGTTCTAATCAGTGCTTCATCACTATATTACAAAAAACAAGTTATTCACATACTTATGAGTAATTATCAGAAAAGTAACAAGGTAACCAAAGCCAATTAAACAACTCATTCCATCTCACTATAAGAAATGGCAGAGCAATCGTACCTAACAAAAAATAGAAAAGATATATTTCAGAATTATACAATAGTGCAATTTACCTTTCTTCTAAATTTCAATGTCATGTATTCTACAATTCCCTTTCATGTGGACATCTAAAATAAAATTCTGTACTACAGTAACAACTTCCTTTAATGTTCCTAATTTAACAACTTTACATTACAGGACCAAAAAATTGAAGAAAAGAAAAAGAGTACATCCAAATAAACAATTTTCAAGCGTATTATGTTTTATATTCTATCAGAGTTAATATTTCTTCTACTAATCTTGGTGTCCTTATTAACATTAAAATTATTAAAACATTATAAACTTGAAAAAAGTTATGTTGGATATTATGTTAAAATGTGTGACTAGTGGAACTTACAAAAGTCTTAGTTTTTAGGGAAGAACTTTGGTACAAGGGTATAATAACGATCGGTAAACAGAAAATTATCACAGGAAGAGAAAAAATACTGATAAAAAATTTGCAAAATGTTGACACTAAGCCTGTTTTAAATATTCCACTTCTTCACTAAATAAAAATAGATAGACATCATATAAAAATTAAAAAACACACACAGAAAACAACTATATATTTAAAAAAGAACTCAGCCTTTTTCATATATTTTTAACTTGAACTAATTAGATTCACGTGACACTATCAGTAATTGCAATAAAGTTGCTCTGTCCCATTTAATGTAGAAATTGAATTTGAGTTGAAT